GTACTGTATTAACAACCACAAGACATAGTCATCGAGAATTGAGGTCAGTTGTAACAGAGAAGATTGTTCAATTACATAATTTATAGGCCCTTAAAGGAAAGTAGTAATGTTGATTCAAAGACCTGTATGAAAAAACTGAACTGCCTATAAAAAGGTAATATTTAAAGTTTTTTTGGTTTTGTTTTGTTTTTTGGTCCTTAGCCCCAAGTATCTAAATACCAGTGATAGTGTTTCACCTAGAAAAAACTGGGCCTAATTTAAATCCCTTGGGAGGAAAATGCTTTTTCTTCTTTCATTTTGGGGACCACATAACATTGGCAGATAGGGATGACTAGATTGAGGTGGGGCTTACTTTCTATCAACCATTCAATTGATTCCTGCAGATTGTGGCTACCTTTCTGAAGCAAAATTTCAGTAGTGAGGTTTTTGATCCTTATCCTAAAACTAGAATTCATATATGCTCTTCTTTGTTTTATTCAGCAGTTATACTTAAATTCTAATACTGTCTAAAAAAAAAATCATCAAATGAGCAACCCGAATATTTCTAAATGAAGTGCTCACACAGCATGATAACCAAAAAGGTTCAATTTTATTTTATTATTATTATTATTATTATTATTATTATTATTATTATTATTATTATTATTATTATCAGTTTCCATTACCTTTTAAAAATACCCATAACTATTAAGATACTTGGGCAGGTAAGTGGTGCAATGGATAAGGCACCCAGCCTGGAGTCAGGAAACTCCTCTTCCTTAGTTCGGATCTGGCCTCAGACACTTACTAGCCACGTGACCCTGGGCAAGTCAACCCTCTTTGCCCCAGTTTCTTCATCTGTAAAATGAGCTGGAGAAGAAAATGGTGAACCATTCCAGTATCTTTGCCAAAAAAAAAAAAACTCCAAATGGGGTCACAAAGAGTCAGTTGCTACTGAAAAATGACTGAACAACAAATTGATATATTTGGCCATGAGAATTTTTAGTTTTATAGCAGAGATACTGCTTTTTAATTATTTCTTTTAATTAATTAAAAATGCATTTCAATTTGTGGTTGTGTCAGATTAATATATTTTAAGAAGACGTTACATCATATGCTAGTCTCTTAGACTGCTGACCTCTTCATGGGCACAGGAGATATGAAAAATGTCATTCCCTTTCATGCCTGTCTCCTAGGCTGGCCTCTTCCTCCTTGCAGAGGACCTCCCCCATCCTTGCCTTCAGTGGACACAGAGACTTTATTCTATTCTACTCTCACCCTCTGTTTCCTGGACTGACCTGCCTATGGGAAAAGAAGAGAAGCACCATTGCATCAGCTCTGTCCACTAGCTCCCTCTCCTGAGCTGCCTAACACTGTGACAGGATTCCACCCTGAGACCCAGTGATGTTGATATTCTACCCTAACCCATTCATCAAAGATTAACAAACTCCTACAAAGCCATACCCTCCCAATTGCAGTGATTCTGAATCCACAGCTGTCATTAATCAGATCTCAATCTCCATCCCCCTTCCCTTAGTACAACCTCTCACTCCCAGTGTCCCACTCTAAAGCTTCCTGCCTCTTCCATTGGGCTCTCTAGAATACTTGTTCCATGGGCAACAAACTTGCTTTCATCTTAAATCTCTTCTTTTCCCACTTCTTTCGTCTTCCGGCTTTGAGTCTGGACACCTCCTGATGACACAGTCTCCTTGGTCAAACTTTCCAGCATAAGTTGGTCATCCTCTTCTCCTTGATACACTCTTCCCTGTAGGTTTTCTCTGGTTCTTCTCCTACCTGTCTGATTATTCTTTTCCAGTCTTCTTTGTTGGATCTTCATCCAAGTCACACTCACTAATTGTGGGGATCCTACAGGATTCCATCCTCTCCTATCCTTCAGTGCTGTTTCACATGGTGATTTCATCAGCTCACATGGATTCAGTTATCATCTCTATGCTGACAATTTTCAGATGTACTTATCTAGTTCAAACCTCCCTCCTGACTCAGTCTCATATCTTCAGTTGACTTTATGACATCCCAAACTGAATATCCCAGAGAAGTCTTAAACTCAACATGTCCATTCTTCTCTCCGCTGTCAAAGTGCTCTTCCTAAAATGATCTGACCTGGTCACCTCCCTGCTGAACAAATTGTAGTGGCTCCCTATCACCTCCAAGATCAGATGTAAGATTCTTTGTTTGGTGTTCAAAGCCATTCATAAATTGTCCCTCTCCTTCCAATATTTTTTCACCTCATTTGCCCCATATACAATGCAGTGACACAGTCTCTCACTGTTCCTTACACATGACACTCTATCTCATAACCCTGAATACGTTTATTGTCTGTCCCCCATGTCTGGAATTCTCTCCTTCCTCATATCTATTCCCTAGCTTCCCTGGAGTCCTTCAAGTCCTACCTAAAATCCTACCTTCTAGAAGCTTTTCCTAATTCCTCTTAGTGCTAGTAATTTCCTTCCATTGATATTAGCCAATTTGTCCTGTACAAATCATGTTTATACATAGTTATTTGCAAATTGTCTCGTATTAAATTGTGAACTCCTTGAGAGCTGTGCTGTCTTTTGCCTTTCTTTTTATCCCTGGACTTAGCACAGTGCCTGTAAAGTAGTAAGCACTTAATAAATATTGACTCCCTAAGAAGTTTCATTCATTCACTAAATATTAAGCTTCTGATATGGAAAGTAGACTAAACTAGAAGACAGTTCCAGGGGTGGGGAACCTGTGGCCTCAAAGCCACGTGTGGCCCTCTAGGCCCTCAAGTGAAGCCCTTTGACTGAATCCAAACTTCCCAGAACAAACCTCAAAGCCACATGTGGCCTTTCCCCACCCATGGTTTAGACTATATAACCTTGGACAAATCACTGTAACTTTTTTGGCCTCAGTTTCTTCAATTGTAAAGTGGAGAAAATAGTTCCTGTCCTGACGCAGGATTTTTATGAGGACTAAATGAGTTGCTGTATATAAAATGCCTTATCTTTTTCCTTTTCTGACACAAAGGAAATTTGGAATTGTCTTTAGTGCAACTGTCGATTTGCCAGCATTAATATTTGCATAAAATACTATATAGAATACTAAGACCATTGGTTTAGAGTTGGATAGAATTTCTGTGAGTCCAACCTCCTTATTTTATAGGTGAAGAAATTAAGTCAAAAAAGGTAAAGTGACTTCACAGGGTCTAAGAAATTGAATTGGATGTGGGACTTCAACAGCCATAAAGTGAAAATGACATAAGAAAGGAAATCCCACTACGACATCCCTAACAAGTGGTCACCCAGCTCGTTTGAAGACATACAAAGTGGGGGAACCCATGACCTTTCAAAGCACAGCCCATTCCATTTTTGGATAGCTCTAATCGTTAGGAAATCTTTGCTGACATCTAGCCTAAATGACTGCTATAATTTCCATCAAGCTCCTGGTTCTGCCCTCTGGAGCCAAACTAAACAAATCATGTAGTGCCTTTTACCCGTGAAAACCCTTCAGATACTTGAAGACAGCTTACATGTTCTCCCTGCACTGATTCTTCCGTCCTCTGAGCTGAACATCCCAACACTAGATGAATTGCCCAAAGTCACACGGATGATAAAAAATAAAGCCAGTACTATTTGAATTCAGGTCCCCAGACTCCAAATCCAATGCTGTTTCTAACATACCATATTGTGTATTTCAGGGCATGATTTTCTTTGGTTTATTTTGGGGGTAACAAGGATTCCATCAGTATAGTCCACTGATAGGGGTCATAAGAGGTCATAAGCGCCTCCATCCAGTTCTTATTGCTTCTTGTCTTTTTTTCGATAAACCCTTCATAAATGATCCACTTACTATGCTCTTGTTCTTTTAATGTAACAGAACTCCAGTGTGCATTCAGCTCCTGATACATTGCTCCTTATTCAAGATCTGCCCAGCTGTTTCCTATCGTACAGCTAACTCCTCCTCAGTGCCTTCTTTTATACCATTTTGGTCTTAGGCATCTTTCTTTGGTCATTGGTAACATTGCTGCAGCCAGCTTATGCCCAGCACACATCTTTCTACTACCCTTAGATTAGTCAGTTTGATTCCTCCGAGATCATGGTGTTCTGTGATTCACACTTTTATAGTCTGAGCAGAATATTGATGTTAAAGAGATTGAACATTGTAGCAGTGAGCAAGGAATAGTGCTTTCTATGAGGCCATGTCATTTCCCAAATGTAATCCAATCCATTTTTATTATCCTACTCAATTCTGCATTGCCCACAGTGCATGCTCAAGGGGTAGGTACTGGTGGATTAAATCAGTGGGCTGTTCATCCTGCTGGACATCATCTGTTTTTATCCATTCTGTTTCGTCAATGTAGAAGATTAACACAAACTTCCCCACTGCTGTGGATTTTATTGAAGAGGGTTTCTACTTTTCTGAACTTAATGCAATTAATATGACATGAGAGAGACTTAGGTAGGACCTTTTGGAGAACCTGATAATAAATATGGAGGCCTTTTTTCTTTTACTTTTTAAATGTTTACATGGGAATAATTATCCAGTATTCCTTCTAGTAGCAAATTATTCTATTCTGATAGATGTGATACATACTATCTTCATATGGACAAAAGATTTATGCAAGTGAATGAAAATTAAAAAGAAATTAATTTATTTCACTGCCTATAAGTCTTCATGGGGATGGGGGAGGAGGAAAGTCAAGATCATTGAAGGCAATATTGGGGGAAAGTAAATTGTACATATTAGAAAAGCTGTATTGAATGTTTCCTTCTCTGAATCAAGGAAAATTTGAAACTTTACCATGAATAAAACTATTGACTTGCCAATATTAATTTTTATAGTAGACTTAAAGAATTAGTTTGCTGTGTAATATTCACCTTCAAATGAAATCTTATTCTGTAGTGAATACCAAAGTTACTACATTTCCATTCCCCAAAGCAGATTATTCTCAAGGGTGTTTTAACCAGGCATGAACTGTAATTGCTTGATTCTAGAGCTACATTTAATGTCAGGTTTCCCCAAAAAACTTCTCATTCCAGAAGGATCGATCATTTCTGCTACTGATGTCTGAATGCTTGGAGGACTAACCTCTCAACCGTGCTGGTACCAGTTCCTGAGACCATCATGGGACCTGAAGGTAGCCTTCTACATAGTGGTCAGGTGCACATCATCATCTGGGGGAGTTTGGCAGCTGTCGCAACTTTCCTACTCATTACCTTCCTCATCTTTCTGTGCTCCAGTTGTGAAAGGTAATTCTTAGATGAGCAAACTTACTGGAACCTAAACATATCATTGTTTGTTTTAGCTACTGCTGCATAACTCAAACAGCAGAGCTCCTGTGTATTCAAATTAATCCCATTTTCTCTCAGCTGTAATGATGATGAGCCCATTTTCTTTTTCAGTGAATATTGAGCTGTTATTTTAACACTCTTTTGATAACAGTTCACACACCTGTGTGTTTGAGTCCTTTCTGAATGCAATTATTTGCTATTCATTTAACCTGTGTAGATATCTTATTCTCTTCAAGTAGGTGTGGATATTTCGAAATCTGGGTATTATATGAATAGAGATGACAACCTTACAGAGTCATAGTTCATTGAACACTTTGGTGTTTAATAACTTTTTTTTTACTTTTGAATTTTTACTTCTTACAGAAGCATTCATATTACTAGTCAGAACAATCACCTTAAAGACAGAATAGATTTTGGAATGCCAGAACTTCAGTTAGTGAATAGATTTCCCAGAGATAATTTTTTTTAATGAAAAGAAAGCCATCCTCACGTCAATGTAGATAACACAATTACTTCATTGAGAAATTTTGTATTACTGATACCATGGAAATCAAAGCCATTCTGCATACATCATCTCCTCTAGAAAGAGATTCACTGACTCAAAATGAGGGGAAATCTTGTCTCATTCAATCTTGGGCAGAATCTAATAAATGGCATCAAAGTGCTACCTTTCTATCTCTAAACAGAGCTGGTAAGAACTGCAGAACTGGACTTCTCTAGACTAGAGAAGAATTACAGTTTCTTCCCCATCTGTATCGAGTCCTTTGGGATTAGAGGCTGGAACCAGACTTCTTTGTGAGTCTGGAGTAGAAGAAGCTTGCGGGCATGTTTGCCTCTGTCTGGAAGAGTAGGTTTTTGTAATAAGGTTACCTCCCATTAGATGTCACTCTTCCCTTATAGATTGTCTGTGGTAATCCTGCTTCTCAAAGACTCAGGACATCATGATTCAAACCGATGCGAGGGAATCCCATTGCCCTTCATCTGTGGCCACCATAGTTTGAAACATCCTGAGTGCGCGAAGCATTCCCTAATAGCCCTTAGATTTGGGTTACATTTACTTATGCAAATTCCCATACAGTGCTTGACTTTTCCAACAAAGGCTTTCTCTCTTGAAGCAAATTGGAGGGGTAAGGAAATCATCTGCATACTTCAGACCAAATATCTGTATGGAAGATTATAAGTTACAGAGAATTTGCTGATTTGTACTGGTAGGAGTTCCCTTATACTGGTATTCCCTATACCAGTGAAATCATAGGTCTAATGCTAACCTATACCAATGAAATCACAGGTCTGATGCCTTACCCTATCCCTATATGACATATACACACATGCCCATATATTGCCATATGTATGTACACATATAGGTACATGAGTGTATATATATATAAATAAATATGTATATATATATAACAAATGTACGTATATATATCTATTCATGCTCATACACTTTGGCTTAAATTACCTATGTATTTCAGGCAGCACCTTTTTCTTAAGGCATGAGCCAAGAAGGTATTCTGTTGGCACCACCACTACTGTTCACTTCCTCTGTAAAAGCTAACCAAAATATTTGCATGGGCTTATGGTGCTCTTTTATTGTCTCATTGAATTTCTTTCCAGCAAATGAGTTGAAAAGACTTATGGCATGATTACCTGGCTGTCCCTTCTTTCTTATGAAGCAGTCATTTTTTTTTAAATGAAAGAAAAAGATTTTATCAAGAATTAAAGAAAGATTTTCTAAATCCTGGGGAACCGAGTATATGAAGCACTATGTGTTTCATTTTTAGATCTATGTCTATATAAATATGGAACGTCACTAAAAGTTCATATTTTAAATTTCAGAGAAAAGAAGCCAACACAACAAAGTGGTGACCATGAGAACCTAATGAATGTGGTAAGACTCATTTGTGTACATTTCAGTATGTTTCCACCTGCCTGGGGCCAGAAGGAAGCCAGGCAGGAAGCCTAAAATCAACTCTGCCTCAGCCATTCTTTCTTCTTTGGGTTAGGTTTCATGGGAATATGTGTTTCTGAAAAAGCTCAGTACCTATTAACTACAATTAAATGCCTGTATTGTTAACCTAGTAATGTGGAAATCAGTAATAGAATTTCCCATAACCATATGAATTTCATTGTTGATGCCCAGCTGAGGAGGTGTTTAAATATTCCTGAATTTATGGCAGCACCGTATTCTTTAGAGTTTCTGCTAACCCTACTGCCATCATCAGTAAGCACCAATAAGCAAATAGCACAAGGGACTTGCCTTCTAACAAAGTTTATAGGACCATGCCCTCTTGCAAGAACTTTGCCTGCCCCTCCAAGCCCTCAGCCCTAGAGGCCCATTGTTCTGATTGGCCTCCAGAGACTGGCATATGTCATTTGAATAGTAGCAGCTCTAGGGAGTTTGAAACCTTGCTTTAGGTTATCCCTGCCTCCAGAAATTTCCCTCAAGAGAACGTACCAAAGGATAGCTCCAGAGAATTAGGGATCATCCGAGAGGAAATTTGAACTCTCACGTTAGTGGCAGTAGAAGATAATATTCTTCTCACAATGGTATGCTGGAGAATACCTCCCATAATCTTCCTGCTTTAGATCTACTTTCTCCAGAGTTGGCCCAGAACAAGGCTTGTATGAAAGGCTGGAGAGTTAGAGATACTGCTTTTGAGAGTATTCTCCCTGGTAGAAGTAAGTACTTGAAGTGGGGAAGGAGGCTGAAGAGGTTTGGTAAATAAAAATAAATACAAATATTGTGTTTATTAGCAAAAGTTTTTGTGAAGTCAAGTCAACAAGCATTTATTAAGTGCCTACTGTGTGCCAGGCACTGTCCTAAGCACTGGAGACACAAAGGCAAAAACAGAACCCACCCTCAGGGAGCTCATAGTCTAATGGAGGAGGCAACCTACAAACAAGATCTACAGAGGATAAATTGGACCCCTAAATCCTTCAGAACTTACCCAAAAGACCATTTAGTAGAATGCATTTTTTCCAACTAGAGGCAGTCCCCAACTTAGAGAAATACAGAAGATTGTTGGAAGGACCAGAGAGTACATCTAGTCTCACCAGTAGCTATAAATAGGAATCACTTCTGAAGGGGAAATGTCAGCCTCAGCCAGAATCAGATCAAATGTAATTGGCAACAGTTGAACAAAACAAATAAAAATACAGTACAACATAGATAACGTTAATTTGTGATTTTCTAAGCCATTATGTGACCAGCAGGGATGCTGTTCTACAGCATCTCTAACAAAGTGATCATCCAGTATTTCCTTGAAAGGCCTCCCCTTCTTAAGAAAAAAATCTGCTACTTTTCCAGACAGCCCTTTTCTTTTCTGGATAACTCTAAATGTCAAGAAGTTCAGGGTCAGGTTTTGGTTTTTTTTATTTTGTTTTTCCCTTTATGTCCAACATAAAGCCATCCCTATGAAACTAGCTCCCGTTGTCATTAGCTCCAACTGCCTTTTCAGGTCAAGCAGACAATTCCAAATCTTGTTCCACAGGACAGCCTTTTAAATACTAGAAGACAGTTGTCACGTCCCCCAACCCCAAGACACACAAATACACACACTCTTCCTTAGGCGAGAACTGTAATTAAAGCAGGATGACTGGACCTTTGCCTTCCTTCTGTTGATGATCTCCAATTTATCTTGTATATATCTTCTTCGCACAGAGTTGTTTGCATGCTGTCTTCCCCTTTAGATGGTGGGGTTTATCATGTGGAAATAGTCATGTGCCCAAATACATCTGCAGTTCCATGCCTTTTACAATAGACCATTTGGAAAGGACTTAATGGGTTATACCAGGATTTTCTCTTATCTTATATGGCATATACTATAAAATTGGGAATGGGGGAAAGAGGAGAATTAAATAATTCACATCATTCACAGTAGTACCACAAATTATCATGTGGGTAAATTAGAATATGGGATTTTCAGTTCTGATCATTTTATACTGATATTTGGAATGTGGAGCAGAAGGGAAACAGCATGGTTTTTTAAGGAAATGCTTTCAGTGTTGACAGCTTTGTTTTGACTTGTAAATTGCTTAACTTTACCATGGAGGTAATTTAAACATAGATACACTACTGCCAATTAGTTACCTTCCTGATTATAATCATATACTGTAGCTAAATTCTTTGTAACTACAATTTTAAACAAAATTTGCTCACAGTAGCCACATATTATAATATTATACTTAAATTTGCTATATATTATAATTTTTGAGGAGGCCAACTAACCTGAGTAAAAGAGCAAAGTGATCCTGAAAGGTCGTTCTTACTTCCAGATATCCCTTTTACCTTTATTTGTATATGTTCTTGAAAATAAGTAAGATTTAGAATGCAAGTTCTTTGTCATCAGGGACTGGTTTTGCTTTTTGTTTGTATCCTGAGCACTTATCAAAGTGTCTGGCATGTGAATGCATGAATGAAATGAGCACTCTTTAAGCACTTACAGTGTGCCAAACACTGTGGTAAGGGCTAGGAATCTAAAGAGAAAATTTGAGACAAGCTCTCCTCTCAAAAAACTGACACCCTGATTGGAGAAGACAACGTATAAAAGGAAGTGCAGTTGCAGAATAGACAGAAAATCCTGTTAAGTCGTAAGGTGCAGTGGCTGAGCAAGTCAAGTCCCAGGGATCCTTAAGTTGCATGATAGGTCAAACAATTGTAGAAGATGGATGAATGGTAAAGCTCAGTGGTCTTCTGTCTCTTAGGATGGAATAGAGTAAGTGACTCCTGTCTTGTATAAGAACTATAAATAACCAGCAGCCTAAATGGGTTCTTAGGCTGGGGGAGGGGGGCAGCAAAGGAGGAAATGGTTCCCCATCTCTCTCACACTCTTCTTCTACCCTCTTAGCCTAACACCCTCTGCCCCTCAACCCCTGGGACTTGTTTCCTCTAGAAGGCTCAGGTAGATTCTGGGCGGTCTTCTGGGAAAGGGATGAAGCCTAAGTGATAAATAAATGCTTGTTGATTGGTTAGTGAGCTAAATTTTAGCATATAGTTTTATTTATTTTAATACTGGTTTAGATGAGATCATGGATTCTTCTATAAGAATCTTTTAGACTATAATAGAGCTAGTCTGATATGGATGTTCCCACCTAGAGGCAAAGGGAATTAATCAGATACTTTGAAAGATACCCTATAGTTAACTCAGTTAATATTGAAGAATTTGTATAGGACAGAAGTTTCTATCTTCCTTCCTTCCTTCCTTCTTTCTTTCTTTCTCTCTTTCTTTCTTTCTTTCTTTCTTTCTTTCTTTCTTTCTTTCTTTCTTTCTTTCTTTCTTTCTTTCTTTCTTTGTAGCACTGCCCTCAGCAATTTTTATTTACTTTTAACATTCTTTTATTTTTAAATTTTGGTTCTCCTGATTTCAGGGCCAGTGCTGTACCCACTGCGCCACCTAGCTGCCCTCCCTCCCGCATAATTTCTTATAGCAACAGTAGTATTTCATCGCAATCATATGCCACAACTTGTTAAGCCATTCCCCAAATATAAATATTTTGTACATATAGGTCCTTTTCCTTTTTCTTTGATCTTTTTGAGATATAAACCTGGTAATGCTATTGCTGAATCAAAGGGTATGCACAGTTTTATAGCCTTTTGGGCATAGTTCCAGATTGTTCTCCAGAATGGTTGGACCAGTTCACTTCTCCATCAGCAATTCATTGACGTACCTATTTTCTCTCTTCCCCTCTAGCATATGACATTTCTGACAGGTGTGAACTGGTACCTCAGAGCTGTTTTAATTTGCCATTCTCTAATCAATACTAATTTAGAGCATTTTCCATATGACTTTGGTAGCTTTGATTTCTCCTTCTGAAAACTGCATGTTCATATCCTTTGAGCATTTATCAATTAGGGAATGGTTATTTTGTAAATTTGACTCAGTCCGCTATGTATTTGAGAAATGAGGCCTTATTTCATTGCCTATAGTGCCTTTTAGCAAAATGTAGTTTCCCTGATTATCTTTTTTTTTTAAATTAAGTCTATTTTTCCTTTTACTACATCTGAGATCATGATTTCTAACCTTGCCTTTTTTTATGTCAGCTAAAGCATAACAGATTCTGCTCCAGCCCTTTATTTTAGCCCTGTATGTCTCTTTCTATGTCAAGTGTGTCTCCTGTACACAAAATATTGTTGGATTCTGGTTTCTAATCCATTCTGCTATCTGCTTTTGTTTTATGGGTGAGCTTATCCCATTCGTATTCACAGTTATGATTACTAACTTTGTATTTCCCTCCATCCTGTTTATCCTTTATCTATTTATCTTTCTCTTTCTTTTTACCCTGTGCCTCCTCAAGTGTCTTACTTCTGACCACTGCCTCCCTTCATCTGCCCTCCCTTTTATCCTCTCCCTCCCTACCCCCAAACTCTTATCTCCTTCCACTCCTATTTCCCTATTAAGATAGATCTCTATCGCTGAGTATGTTTATATATTCTTCCCTCTTTGAACCAGTATGCTGTTAGAGCAAGGTTCAAGCACTGCTTGCTGTCACCACCATTCCATATATGAAGGTGGTAGTGGTGGTGGCAGGCAGTGCTTGAAGAATAAAACTTTATGAGTTCTTTTTTTTCAATGTAAAAATGTTTAAGTGCTTATTATGTGACAAGCACTGGGCAAAGTGTAGGGATATAAATAGAAAATCAAGACAATCTCTGCTCACATTCTGATTAGGGGACATAACACACACATCTTCACCTGGAAATTAGGTGGAAAGCCCCAGGAGCTCAGAGGGAGAAAGTTAAATGGCATGCTCCCTGGGATGCCATTGGGAAAACAGAAGGCCCCTAAATAGTGTCTGTTGGGAAGGAGGCAGTGGACAAGGGATGGAGGGTGTATTACCTTTGGGTTATTTTAGGAACAGATAGAAAGTGGGGGGTCCAACTGGGAGATACCATCTAGCAAATGATAAGAATTGGGTAACAGAGGCTGGAGCAGGGGAGGGGAAGGTCCCCAGCTCCCCAGGAAGTGGTTACTACTGTTGGTTTCTCTGGCTGCCTGTTTGCTTCTCCAAAGAAATGTAGTTAAGTAAAGCAAATCTACACTGTGGCTGTATCTGAAAATGTGTCTCATATTGCACCTCTAGCCGGCTACTTCTCTGCTAAGAAGTAGGAAGCATGCTTCATCCTGAGTTCTCTAAACTAGTCATTGGGCATTGCATTGATCAGAGTTCTTAAGGTTTTTGAAGTTGTTTTCTTTATTAGTGTTGTAGTGATTGGGTATTGTTTTTCTGGTTCTATACATTTCAGTCCACATCAGTTCATAGAAGTCTTCCCAGGTTTCTCTGAATCCGTAATTTTTCTCTTTTCTTATTGCACAATAATATTCCATTTCCTTCATATACCATAATTTTTCAACCATTCCTCAAATGATGGGTACCAATTTCGTTTCCATTTCCCTGCAACAAAAAAGTGCTGCTAGAAATATTTTTGTATACACAATTCTTTTCCCTCTGTCTTTTACCTCTTTGGAGGTGTTTTTAGTATTGGTATTGTTAGGTCAGTATTGTATGTCAGTTTCATGATGGCATGCTTGCATAGGTTCTGGATAATGGACAATGCTCTCAAGCTTTCCTAGTTACTGATGAAGTGAAGCAGGGCTGAGTTTTTGCTCCTATGCTTTTTAGCATGATGTTTTCAGCAATGCTGTCAGATGCCTTGGCAGTACACTTTCCAGGGATGTACACATAGATGAGGTTGATGCAGATATTGCTCAGTAGTGTTCAAGAGTCTATGAAACCTGGACAGTATACCAACACCATGCTGGGAAATGGAATTACTTCCATTTGAATTGTCTTGGGAGGATTCTGAAAATCACTTTCTGCTCTGTACCCTCTGGTCCAGTGACATTGGCTTTTCTGTTCCACAAACAACACACTCCATTTTTCTGCTTCGGACATTTTTTTTGACTGTCCTTTATGCTTGGAACACTCTCCTCTGCTTTGACTACTGACTTCGCTGGCTTCCTTTAAGTCACAACTGAAATCTCTTCTTTTACAGGAAGCTGTGTGGTACAGCGACTCTAAATCAATTAAACTCAAAGACTTCTCAAGGTGGAAGCAAAAGTTACTTTTTATTACAAGCTTGCTAGAAGGGGTATCTGCTCCCCTGGTACACTTCCAGGAGGAGAGAGGCCATGAGTTCTTTAAATATGATGTGTAGGCTCTTTTTTTGATAGTGGCTTTCAGGTACTCCAATAATTATTAAATTTTCTCTCCTCAATCTGTTTTCCAGGTCAGTTGTTTTTCCTATGAGATATTTCACTTTTCTTCTATATTTTCATTAATTTTACGTTGTTTTATTGTTTCTTGATGTCTCATGGAGTCATTTGCTTCCTAATTCTAATTTTTCAGGAATTGTTTTCTTCAGTGAGCTTTTGTACCTCATTTTCCATTTGGCCAATTCTTCTTTTTAAGGAGTGCTTCCCCTCAGTGAATTTTTTAAATTTTCTTTAGTGAGCTTTTGTACCTCTTTTACCATTAGGCCAGTTCTGTTTTTTAAGGTGTTATTTTCTTCAGTATTTTTTTTGTGTGCCTCTTTTACTAAGCTATTAATTCTCTTTTTGTAATTTTCTTGCATCATTCTTATTTCTTTTCCCAATTTTTCCTCTACCACTTATTTCCCTTTAACTCTACCAGGAATTCTTGCTGGCCTTGGGTCCAATGATTAGTCATCTTTGAGGCCTTTTTGTAGCTGTTTTCACTTTGTTGTCTTATTCAGAGTTTATGTCTTGATCTTCACTGCTACTGTGGTAGCTCTTTACTATTAAGCTCTTTTGGTGTTGTTGGTTGCTCATTTTCCCATCTTATTTGAACTTTGAACTTTATGTTAAAGTTGGACTCGGCTCAGCTGGGCTTGGAAGGCACTGTACCAAGGTTTAGGCTTTTTGTGTGACTGTCTTCAGAGCTAGTTCTGGGGGTATGCCGGTTTTCAGTGCTTCCAAGGTTATATTATCTTGGAGAGGTGTCCTCCCCACTCTCCTGGTCTGCACTCTGGTTTTTACCCTGGAAGGGCCCTGTTCCTCTGCAGCTGCAAGTACTAGTGTTCCCCTTAGCCCTGGAATTATGACCAGGTCCCCTGCTCCCTTGTGACTGATTACAAGTGCTCTTCTCCATCTTGGAGCTGCAACCCAGAACTGCTTACAGAGTTGCCAATCAACGCCAGCTGCACCCCGTACCAGCAAAGAGTCCCCTGTAATCTCTTTCTGACCAGCTGTCTGACTAACCCCTTTACCGTCTCTGGGCAGAGAGCTCCTGAAGCTTCTGTCAGTCATGGCCACCTCCAAGGCCCACCACTGGTGCTCCTGACTCACTCCAGGTTTGTGTCCACCTCAGTGTCACAGACTTTTCATCTGGACCTCCTAAGTTGTCTGGCTAGAAAAATGTCTCCCTCTGATCTTTTGGTAAACCCTGACACTCTAAAATTTGATTTGAGGCATTTTTAAATAGTATTTTATTTTTTTTCTAATTACATATAAAGATAGTTTTCAACATTCATTTTTTATAAGATTTTGAGTTCCAAATTTTTCTCCCTTTGTCTCTTCCTTCTCCCCCTCCCCTAGACAGCAAGCAATCTGATATAGATTATACGTGTTTGAGGCATTATTTTAAACTTGTTTGAAGGGTAATATTGGCTGCCTCCCAGCCTGTACTTTACCATCTTCAGGACATAATTTTCTATTGCTACATCTTTTACATAGGTTGTTGAGGGTTTTTTTAATCACTTTGTTTTAATTCCTTTGTTACAACGCAGAATACATTTCTTAGCTATGTAATATGTTCATTTTTTTACAGCCTTCAGATAAGGAGATGTTCAGCCATTCAGTTACTAGTTTGGGTACTGAACTTCCTGCCAGCAGTGAACAAAATGGGGGCCTTACCAATGGAGACAGTAAGTTCTGCTGAGTTTTCCAATATGTACAAATCTTATCATACATACTTCATCATATTCTGAACTTCATAGATGTACAGAAACTTTAAGTAATATAGTTTAAACTTAACTTCTATCAGTTTACTCACTTTTAGAACCAGTTTTACAAATCTCATTGAGTTGCAGATACCAAATTTTCTTCTGGCTCTGATATTTCCTGGTTCTATGGCTCTTAGTTATAATTTACTTTCTCTGACGATATAATCTGAATTAGCTGTATCTTACAGCTCTCGGCAGCTAACACAGTGCTTATCATATGGAAGGTCAATAAATGTTTGTTGAACTGAATTAGGTACATAATGATCATCACTGAAGTTCTTTTAGAGCTAGAAGATAAACATGTGAAACATCTTCCAACTTTTGTGAAGTCTAAGCTCTTAGAATACAGATGGTATTTTATATTTTTTAAAACTTGAGTTACTGGTCCATAGCATCAAACTTTGTAAGGACATTCCCAATGAAATGAAAAACATTGATTTAATAGCTTGCATAAGGCCTTTATAACATTAACAATTCATTGGCAAACTGAAAATTTAGAATTCAGGCTTCAGACCTTCTTATCAGGATTGGCATGCAGGGTGGGAAAAAAACCTAAAAAAAAAAAAAGAGAAAAAATATGCCCAGCCACTGGCTCATGGGTGATATCACTTCTAGCAAAGGTGAGTTGGCTATGTTGACTGCTTGGTCACAAACATGCCTCCAGAAATGTGGAGATGATCACAAGTAATGCCATAATTTTTGTACGAAAAAATCTGGTGTTCTGCCTATGTAATATGGAGGAAACAACCTTTATTTTCTACCCCACCCCCACCCCCAAAGGGTCTTTTGTCCCCAAACTAGCATTGGTTGTCATGTCTTACATAACCTGAAGGGACCAGTAGAATCAGTGAATATGGAAAGATATGACTTCTCATTAGGAATTAGAATAAGTATCATTATTTTTCCCACAAGTGACACAAAAGGTGATTTTTTTTTTGTCGGGGGGTCTCTGGTAAAACAGTGTTATACACACTTTGAAGTATGGTAACAGATAGGTACCATATTTAGAACAAAAGGCGTGTAAGGCTATTTGTAATAAAGTGAAGGAATATTCTTCTGAGACAAATTGTGTCCCTCATTCAATGGAGTAGCTATGGAGATAAAAATTAAGTCTTGTTGAAATTAATTTAAAACCTAAAGTTATCATGAATGAAGTTATTACAACTAAGTAGATTTATTGAAGTGCTACAGTTTAAATTTGAGAGATATGCTAGTTCATTTCCTTCCAAATTATGAGAATAATTTGAATCCTTAGTCCATAGTCATGTCTCTATAATTTTCTTCTTAAAGTCAAAGAAGAAGAAGCATTACGATTTTCCTCACTATACTGTATGGTAAATTGCACAGTGTAATGCTTTAGGGGTGTTTGAATCTCTTACCTTAATTCTTTCTTTCTTCTGCTGCTGCTATTTCAGTTCTTTCAGAAGACAGTGCTATGACATGCATGCAACATTATGAAGAAGTACAGACTTCTATTTCTGACCTGTTGGATTCCCAGGACAGTACAGGAAAGTCAGCGAAATGTCATCAAAGCCGAGAATTACCTAGAATTCCTCCTAATGATTCCTTGGATACTATTCTTACCACAAGAAATGTGGACAGTGACCAGGGTCTTGGGATGGAAGGGCCATATGAAGTTCTCAAAGATAGCTCCTCCCAGGAAAATATGGTGGAAGATTGTCTGTATGAAACTGTGAAGGAAATAAAGGAAGTGGGAACAGCAACCAACCTAGAAAAAAGCCGGAATGGAAGACCAAATTCTGTAACTGCCTTTAAAGAGATTCAGGGCCATCACCCTTTGAACAAAGTTGAGTCTGCAGAATATGCTTCTGTGGACCGAAATAAAAAAAGTCGACACAGCGTCAATGCAGAGAGTGTGCTTGGAAATTCTTTGGATGTAGAGGAAGAAGCCCCACCACCTGTCCCTGTAAAACTTCTTGATGAGAATGAAAATGTGCAGGATAAAGCAGATGGGGAGGCAGTAAATGAAGGGGCCACAGAGAGTTCTAGTCAAATCAACAAGGTAAGCTAATTCTTTCCTCATGTTCTTATAGAACAAAAAGGGCAAAAATTATTTAGGTGTACAAAGTTGACCCCCAACTTCGGTGTGAGCCTTTTTAAAATTTTATTCCAGGTAAGTGCTATGTAACACTCATGGGGGCTTCCAATCTACATATTCTTCTGGGAAATTGTTCCATAAATTTTCATGCTACTTGAATGATGAGGGCTTTTACTGAATGCTAGAGTTAGGATTTTTTTCTTCTCTCATTACCAGAGTTACAGCTGATGTTTATAAAGCACCTCTCTCAGAACTTTTTTGATTCTTAACAAATTTCACATGATATCTGGTTAGGGGCAAATATAATTTTTCCCATTATAGAGATGAGGGAACAGAAGTGAAGAAGTTAATTTGCCCAAGATTAAAAGGCCACAGAACATCACATAATCACCTCTGAGCTGCATGTGTGTCATGCTTTGTCCCTGCAGATTATTTATGTAAGTAAACCGTATGTGCTATGAAAATATGTTAACAATCACAATAGATGAAATTATTATAAAACATGAAGTTTTACAAAGCACAGAATCTTAAAGTATCATAGTTGGATGGGAGCCCAAAAGTCCAATTCAGGCTTAAAGCAAGAATCACTGCTACATTCTCTCCAATAAGCAGTTGTCTAGATCTGCTGGATGAGATGTAAGTCAGTTATAACTAGTAGCACAAGAAATAAAAATAGAAAAATTCAAAAATGTCAGTCCCAAATATAGACGTAATCAAAGTCCCTGAGCAGGCATGGTGCCACAGAGGAGCTCACACATTTTTGTCAACACATATATTCTTATTTTAAATAACCAATTAAAGCAAATCCTAGTAGAAACTATCACCAGGCCATAAAAGTACTAGTTTGGATTCGTAACATTATAATTTAGTGAAGAGAGGACTAGATTCCAACACTCACCAGCTGAGCGGCCTTAGCCAAATCAATAATTTTATCTCTGAGGCCCCGCTTCCTCGTTTGTAAAGAGAATGATCATTGTAATCATACTACCTTCCTCACAGGTTTGCCATGAGTAAGGAATAAATAAATAAAAACCACGTTATGAAATGCTGTATGTGGGTACTGCTATTACTCTTTTACTACAAATAAAAAGTAAACTTGATTCTCTGCTTCATGAACAATAAAAGCTTGTTAACAGAAGGACCAGCATTTAAGAGAAATAATTTTAACTTCATTGTTAAAAACTCATATTTATGGGAAGATTAGTCATAAAATTGTGGCGGTAAAAAGGACTTCAGAAGTTATCCAATACAACCCATACCTGAATAAAAATACTCTGGCACACTATGATATCAAATTTGCATTCATTTATTTGTCATTTATGATATATAATAAGACATTAGGCTAGGTACTATGAAATATAAAGGCCTAAATGACTGACTGAAATAAAAGTCACTGCCCTCCAAGAACCTATATTTGATTAGGGAGACACAACATGTACACAATTAAATGTAGTGCAAGGAAAACTGAGGGAGAGCCCTGACAACTGGGGAAATTAAATAAGGCTTCATAAGGGAGACCAGTCAGGTGGTGTATGACTTGAAATTTTGAAAGAAAATAAGGATTCTGAGAGGAAGAGATGAAGAGAGGATGTATTCCAGGCATGTGGAGTGGCTTGTATAAATGGATGAAGGTTAGAAATGAACGAGGAAGTTCAGGCAACAACTATTAGTCCAATTTGGCTAGAACGCAGAGTTCATAAAGGGGTGTAGTATGAGATAAGGCTGGAGAGGTAGGCTAGGAGCCAGATTGTGTAGGTATTTAAATGCCAGGCTGAGGAAGCCAGTTAGCAGGGGAGGTGACATGTTCAGACCTGTGATTTAGGCAGCTACATCAAGGGTAGATTGAAGACAGACTGGAAGAAAGGAGACCAGTTTAGAGGCTATTATGCTAGTCTAAGTGATGAAAGCCTGAATCATAATGTTGGCAGTAAGAGTGGAGAGAAAGAGGCAAATTTGAGAGATGCTGGGGAGCTGGAATTGATAAGACGTGGCAACTTATTAGATAAGAAGTATGAGTGAGAGGGAAGGGTTAAGGGTGATTCTAAGGTTACAAACCAGGATGACTGCCCTTAACAGAAACAGGCAAGTTGGAACTGGTAGCAGATTTAAGGGGGGAATTCATGAATTCTCTTTTGGATATATTGAGTTTAAAATGCCTCATAAATGTGGTTTATCTAGTAGGATAATTGACAATGTATGACTGAAGCTTAGAGGATATATTAGGGTTAGATGTGGAGATCTGGAAGTCATCTGTAAAGAGATAACTTGATCCAGTAGCTGCTGAGATGTCCAAGAGATTGACTGTTGAGAGATGTAAAAAAAGGGAAGCCAACAAAAGCCCTGGGAACACCCTCAGTGGGCAGGAGGCAGCAAGGTGGCACAGTGGGTAGAGTGCCAGGCCTCAAGTCAGGAAGACTCGTCTTCCTGAGTTCAAATCTGGCCTCAGACACTTACTAGCTGTGTGACCCTGGGCAAGTCATTTAATCCTGTTTGCCTCAGTTTCCTCATCTGTAAAATGGGCTGTAAAATAAGGAAATGGCACACCACTCTAGTATCTTTGCCAAGAAAACCCCAAGTGGGGTCATGAAGAATTAGACACAACTGAACAATAACAGAGTATATGTCTTGATGTTATCTGTAAAGAGATGACCTGATTTGGGAGCTGATGAGATGTCCAAGAGAATGAGTGTTAAGAAAGATTGAAAAAGTGGGGGTAGGGGTGGGTCACAAAGCACAAAGCCCTAGAAACACTCTCAGTGGCAGAAGGTTGACATATTCCATCATGGAAGAATAAGGAGAGCGAGATTGACAATATTCCATCATGGAAGAATAAAGAGAAGTTAGGAAAAGAAACAAAAGAGAACCAAGTCACAGAAGCCAAGGAAGGACAGAGTGTCCAGGAAGCAGGGGGGAGTGGTAAATAGTATCAGAAGCTTAGAGGGGTCAGTGATAATGAGCATTCCCAGATGTAGCACTTATGATCACTGATAACTTTGCCATCCATAAGAAGTACCCACTCAGCCTTCCCTTGAAGATCTCCAGTGATGGGGAATTCACTATCTTATGAGGCCACCCACTCCACTTTTATACAACTCTAATGGCGAGGGAGTTTTTCCTTATATTGTCAAAATTTGCCTCCCAGGGGCTTCCATTCTTTAATATAAATTCTGCCGTGAGGCCAAGCAGACCAATTCTATTCCTTCTACCATGTGACACCTAATTTCCTTCCATGTACTCTGCCCTCCTTGCTGTTCCTTGCACATGACACTCCCATCTTCTAGTTCAGAGAATTTTCTCTGGTTGTCCCCCATTTCTGGAGCACTGTCTCTCTCTCTTCATTACCAACTCCTAGCATTGTTGGCTTCCTCCACGTCTCAGCTGAAGTCTCACCTTCTGCAAGAAGACTTCCACAGTCTTCCTTAATTTTAGTGCCTTCCCTCTGAGACTAATTCATCTTCCGTGTGTGAGATGTGTGTGTGTGTGTGTGTGTGTATAAATATATATGAGAGAGAGTTTGTACATAGTTGTTTGCATGTTGTCTCCTCCATTGGACTGTGAGATCCTTTACAGCAGGGATTGTTTTGTTTTGTTTTGTTTTTGTTTTGTTTTTACCTTTCTTTGCATCCCAAGAACTTAGCACATTGCCTAGTACATTCCAGTTGTTTTTCAGTCATGTCCAATTTGTCATGATCCTATTTGGGGTTTTCTTGGCAAAGATACTGGAGTGGTTTGCCATTTCCTTCTCCAGCTCATTTTACAGGTAAGGAAACTCAGGCAAACAAGGTTAAGTGACTTGGCCAGGGTTACAGCTAGTCAGTGTCTGAGGCAGGATTTGAACTCAGAAGATAAGCCTCCTAGCAGGCCACTTAGCACAAGGAGGCACTTAATAAATGTTAGTTGATTGACTGATTTACAGCGGTTCACATACTGGTCCCTCAGAGACTCTTCTTCTCCAAGCTAAATAGTCTCACTTCGTTCAGCCTATGTAAGTTAAATGTCTTGCCTTGGGTCTTACCTATATAGAGCTCGCAGTTCACTAAAGACTCAGTCAATCAATAAGCATGTATCAGCTCCTGTTCTAAAACTTTTTCCATTATCAATTGCTTTCTAGCCCCTTATCCTCATCTTTTACTTCTGTAACTGAATTTTTTTTTCAACCAAGTGTAGTACTTTGCATTTAGGGAGAAAGCAGGGTGAAAATATGAAGGCATCGCCATCTTTTCCTATTTTAATATAAGGCACTCATCAGAAGTTACCACGGTAAGAATTGGTGGGAGGTAAAGTCAGGCTGCAGCCAAACGAAGGCATGAGGTTCCAGCAAAGCCCTTTATCTCTCACTTTGCTTGGCCCTCTGGAAAATTGCTTTGTTTACTTGTTTGGAAAAATTACAGTATGAATATCAATTTTGAAGCAAAAAGTTTCTTCCCATGTAAAAATAATGGAGTTTGGTTTTCCACCCCTTCATATCACCCCAAGGTAAAAAGCAAAAACAATACTAAAACCCCACAATCCTAATAAATAGAGCATCCTGCCTGAGGCAGCTAATGCTTTTTACTGATAGTGTCTAACAGGTAAAAGGGTTAATGGGCTAATTGCTAATAAACAGTAGCCTAAATTTCACTTCATATATGTAGATTAGAATAATAAACCTTGTAATCCAAGTTAGTTTTGTGTAGAAATATATAATATTAGTGGGCAGCTAGGTGTAATATCGCCACAGTGTAACAATTCATACTTTAAATAATTCTAATATAAAAAATTAAATGCTACATATGTTCTAGCAATACACACGCACACACATACACACACATATTCTTTCCTCCTCTGAGTGGTACTGCTGTAATTTGATATGCATTCCTAAAAATCATTGAGCTATGCAAAATCACTCAATAAAACCACAGGGCTTATGAGGGAAATGGAGTTAGGAGTACAACACTCAAAAACTTCACTATTGACACATTTAA